TGTTCTTGTAACAAATAACTGCTGAAGACATAATAAAACTATTAAAATAGGTCTTAGGACTGACTGCATAAAGTTTTGACATCACATTAGTAGTGTACAGAACAAATACAAGCCAACCAGCAACTGACTGTGTCTTATAGTCTGTGTATTGGTACATGCTTTTATTGGGAACAAGAAAACAGGTATACTTGATCCTAAAGGAAAAGCCAACCTACTGCAACATGAATAACTTGCAATAAAAAGGTATGGTTTGTGTTTGAAGAGTTACACATACATGTTCTAGAAGACACGAACTATTTGTATTTCAGAAACTTCTYTCAAACACTCTAAAACAGTTCAGGCTACACCACAGGTATAGGTGTCATGAAAGCACAAACTTAATTCTCATGGTTTTTTTGTTTGGGATAGTTTTTCCTTTTTTATTTCACCACCTACTTTATCACATACACAACAGATCCTATAAGATACTGCCAAAACAACAGTATTGGATTGTACRTCCAATGTTAAAAACCAGCTGCAGTATAGTAAGTGTCTAAAGCCTTATTAACACTGCTTCACCTAAAACATATTGATTACTTGCATGAGTTGCTGCACTAAGATATTTTAGTGCAGAACATTTAGCTGAACATACACATGCACTATAAAGCCKGGACATGAAGATCTGCATCAATACCAGCACACTACAGAATAAACAACCATGCTTGCAGAAGCATAAGCTCAGTGCTATCTGCTACAAGAATACAGCCTTTCCACACTTAGTTTTCATTGTTTCTTCTAGATTGCTTACCACTCCMAATTCCTGCTTCCATTTTTCTTCAAAAAAAAAGGCTGGAGGAGGTGTTGAGCAACCTGGTCTAGGGGAAGGTGTCCCTACCCTTGGTGGTAGGGCTGGAACTGGATGATCTTTAAGGTGCCTTCCAACCCAAACCACTCTGTGATTCTATGATTTTGCATTTTAAGCATACATCTTTCTCAGCTGTATTAAAAACACTGAAGACTGTCTAGAAGTAAATGACATTGCTATCATTTGCCCATTTTTACTAATTGCATTTACAAATCAATGTATAAGAATGGACAGAAATTCAAGACACTGAGGACAAAAGTATTCCTCCCAGAATGTTATTTTCCCTGGGAAAGAAATAGACAGGTCTCTCCAGGTAAAAGATTTAAAAAGCAAAAAGGCTCTRTTTAAACTAAAATTAATGGGTATATGCTAGTACCACAACCAAAAGTAGCATTCCCAGTCCCCGTGGTCCAGACTTTCTGCTCCCACTTTCCTCCTCTTTTGCTGTCATAGCTACTCATGAAGCAACACAAACAGCCATATTGGAGAACAAATATGGATGAAAACTAACTCACTCTGGAGGTCAGCTTTTGGAAAATGAGTTGTCCCATCAGGTTTACATGAAACTGACACAAACAGTCACAAAAGATGGGAAAAAGGATATGACGTCAATGAGAGTTCGCTGACTGATTCTTCTCATGGCCAAATATTTTATTTAACTGGACATTKCAATAGAGAAGCAGATCTAACCTAGTGTTAGCAATCCCCTTCCTACCCCTACCATGCTTTCTAATCATCACCTTGGTACTGTTTCCCATATTTATACCCATTAGTCTTCTACTGTCACTGCTCACATCACCGTCCATAATGTTCCCCATGAGCCAAACAAAATAAAGCAAAAGAGAGTATAAAAGGAGAATAAATAGAAGCCCTTAGATTAGAAAAGACATGAAACTAAGAAAGAAAACTGAAGAGATAAAGAACAACAGGAAAACTCTTCAATGCAACATGATAACTGGCTAGAACTTTCAGCAAGATTTCAAAAATACTTAGGATAATTATTTCACATATTTGTACTGCAGCAGCACATAAGGAYTGCYTGTGCCAAACTCTCTACAAGTACCAAGACAGTTTTTGTTTGAATGATATTTCAACCTTACTATTTTTACTGAACTTAATTCTCACTTCCCTTTTTCTCATGTAGTTACTGACCCTATCACACCGCATGGAAGTATCAAAAAGCTACTTTACTCATCATCTGCTCTGCAACACCAATTTCCATATCCAGTTCTTTCTTCCTAGTAAAGCTGTTTTTTTCACACTTTCTTCAGTGTGTTTATAATGGTCTCAAAGTTGGTCAGCAACTTCTGCAAATTATCATATTACACACCTTCAAATTTCTACTCCAACCAGTTAGAAACATTCAAGAATTTAATGACCTAGGTCATTAGGGTGACACAATCAACGTTGTGCTCATACACAATCAGCCACAAGAAGTCATGCTATATCCACACTCTAAACAAAAAAGATCTTCAGTGGAGAGTAATTTTTGCCCTGCTACTTTCAGATAGGCAAGATCAGATTCTAGAAGCAGCACCTTCAATTGCTACAGTAGCATGAAAAATGAATCTCCTAGAAAAGGTTTTCAGTAAAGGTTTTTTTATGGTTTCAGGCAAGTCATGCTAAGTAGAGCACAYAAGAAAGAATGCTGTTAGACATACTCCTACAATATAGTACATGGACWAAATACTTTAAGCTGAGTTTATTTAAAAATAAATAGAAGTAGTAAAAGCTACTACCAAAGGGAACTCCAAACAAACACCACTAAATTATCCACTGATATTTATGAAATTTGGAAACTGTACTTACTTCATCTTAYAGATAGATATCTGAGTTGCCTTGGGTAGTCTAGGATTTATTTWAAACAGTACTATAAAATACAGCTGTACCGTCTGAACAGCTAGGCTTAAACCTTGAGAACACATGATTTTGCAAGTAAGACATTTTAGCTAATTGACCCTATCAGTTACAAGCTGGTCTTCTACAAACATGGTCTTCCTGAGCTCTGTTCCCATTACCYGATGACAAGAACAAAAGATAGTAAAAATGTACCAGGAGCCAGCCAGGTGAAACACAACAGACAGTGAAAAAGAACTAATAAATCCAAACAGACATGAACTGTTTCTATAGTTCTAATTCTCTGCATTAAATTCCCCAGTTTATTTATTACAGAAAAATGTATCAGTTTGAATGTAAGGTAACACTGAACTGTAAGAGATTCATTCTGCATCTCATCAAAGACCTCTTTGACCTGAAAACAAGATCTACAGGTAGACATTTAACATGCCAGTGAGGTTCCACATGTTGACTTCTGGTCTTTATYAGCCAAGCTACATTTGACTTTGGCTGTGTGTACAGTATTTCCCAGCTACATACCATCTTATACAATGAAAAAATTAACATGTCAGCTCATTATGTAGCTAATGTTTGATAGAGCAACACTAAATAAAGGTCACAAGGCTTAAGCAAGGATGAGGCAGTATGTACTATCATTAACTGAGAAAAATACTCCTCCATTTTTTAAGCAATCTCAGCAGGTAAATTCACAAGTCAAAGTTATGTMCATCTCACAAGTAACCACTTAAATGACAAAACCTTGAAAAACTTTACTGCAAAACAGTGATGTTTTCCCACTTTTGCTGGATTGCCCTGAGTGGTCTACTGRTTTACAAATTACTACAATCCAACACAAAGTATCTAAGGTGAAGCATTAGAGGAACTATGTAAAATGACACACCCACAAACAGTAACACTTTTTGAAATCCATSACTTCAAAAAAGGTAGCTTCCAAACTAAGTAGGCAGAAACCTATTTCAAGAAGAGACACATCACTAGCAAGCTACAGTAAGAACCTCTCCTTAACCCACAGCAGCAGTGTAATTTTTAACAAATGTTCCTAAAATTAGATAAAAACCCCAAAACCAAAAAACAAGAAACCCACACACAACCCAAAAAATAAAGGTGTTCCCAAAATCGGTAGCAGAAYATCACTTGAACAATTAATTTCTACCATCTCAATTTAAAAATAATTAGGTCTTCACAGTGTGACAAAAGTAGCTACAGATGTAGCAAATTTTTTCATAGCAAAGAACTCTCTTAGGGATAACTTTTGAGAACAGAAATAACAACAAACTCATAAATGTCTGTACAAAGCTGCAGCAGTATTGAGAGGCTAGTCTTTCAAAATACCTCTATGCAATACATTAAGGAAAACATACTGTTTCTGACTTACAGAAGGCTTACAGGACGCTGGGAAAATGAAAGAAACAAACTGCACCAAGACAAAGAAAAGACAAAGGTACTGAATTTCATCCATAGTTCTTTTCTCACAAGATTTATTTTCACAACAGGGCACAAACACCTGCAACATACTTGTACAGTACCTAGAGCAGGGACAGTCAGTCCTGGTTAGAACCTTGAAGTAGAACCACAGCACATTAGAGAGCAGTCCTACAGTGCATCAGAATTAGCACACATCCTCTACCAAAAGCAGCGGAAGATGAAAAGGAATTAAAGTGCTCTAGCAAAGGTTTTCTTAGCACTTCAAGACTCTCCCAGGTGAGATTCTATGTGCCTCAGCAGACTTAAAAACATGTATCACTTGTGCTTCAACAGATTCRTAATTCAAATGGATTATGAGAAGCAGCAGCTTCTTACTCATCAATTCTTGTTTCCATAGAGTGACAAGCACCAATTCAGAACACTCCCCTTTATTCTTATTACTGTTCATCAACAAGTAACCTAAAGAATAACTGGCTGTTTCAAAATTTGTATGACATCCATGAAAAGATCACAMTGAGAAAGTTGCTCTGCTACAAACCCTAAAAATTGCATGGAAATGTATATAGCCAAAACCCAACACCTTTAAAGGTAACAACAGGGTCAAACTGGTCATTCAAACCCTAAATCTTTGTCAAAAAAAAAAGAGATGAGATGTTGTACTTCTTGTGTACACTGATTTGTGGACAACAAATACCACAATCAACTCTCTTAAAACAATCAAATATAAGAGTACAACTTCTCAAGAATAGGGAATCAAGCTACATAAAGTGATAAAATATGAAAATAAGTTTCAATACCAAAAATATATGTTGACTGAAAGATGATGTGAGGCAGTATTTCAAGAAATTATTAATTAATAATGGACTCTGCTTACCCATCTCTTCCCTTACTGACAATTTTAACTTCAAAATAGTATATGCCACAGGCAGCAGGTATAGGATGTGTAGCTCGAACAGAAGCAGCATCTTTTGGAGTTTTTCCATGACCTGAAAAACAAGAGTATTCAAAACATAAAAAAAGCATTTTAGTTAACTGCAGAAGGTGACTTAAAGGTAGGCATGCCAGCTACTCAAAACAAATGGCTTATGCAATGAGCAAACAATACACAATATTTTAATCAGCCTGATTTTTATGCTTACATTTGCATTGTAAGCACCTCTACTGCAACTACGCATGCTATGAGAAGTTCTGGATGTAGTATTCCAAAAAGGTGCTACAATTATTTGAAGGGAAACCAGGAAGAAGTTTCACCACTCTAAGAACATGATTGACAAAAGGCCACCTGCGTTTAAAAGAACTGTAGGATTTCTCAAATGGGCCTACTCATTTTTGTAGACTAAAACATGACATAAGAGTTTATTCTAATGCTTACTATTTCTGAATCTACAAGTTACTGAAGATACTTTAATTCTAATGTCCTCCAGAATAAACATCAGTCATTATACAGAAAGTACTACTCCTAATTAATTTCCATGTTCTGAGTGTTGTTTCAGGACAGTATTATGCCTCACAGCCTGCAGCTGAGCTCATACAACTCCTTTTCCTTTTTCATATTAGCCTCACTATGCATTAGCTCTGCCACAAGKATGTCCAATGTCAGCTCTTGTCTACTCTCAGGATTTTCAACCTAAACCCAAGGGCCACTTGCACTCCACTAAAACTAACCTTTTGAATGTGTCACCCTCTCCACAGCCCTTTCCAAAGGCAACTTGGAAGCAGGCTTTTGACTGGAYGACTTGTTTCAGCAACAACCTGCTCAAACAAGCACAATGTCTCCCAGGTACACCCAAATATCTCARCTTCTGTGTGACAGCCATGCATGGGGCCATCAGACATAGTTTAAAAAAATTTAAAAAACAAGATGGAAAGTATATTGGATCCAGGCAAGAGGTAAGGTAATTCAGTGAGGTGGTAACCAGGAACAGACTGTCACTGCCATAAGAATAATRCATGCAGATCCCATGTGTACTCTTCACGTGGATCTGTAGCATGATGAAAAGACCTGCCTGTTTTGACTGTGCTGTACAAATCACTTGCGCTGCAACATTCCAGCTGTCGTTTCCAGTCCAGACAGGGAGGCCTACTGCACCTGCATAGCAAATGATCTGCATATGCAAAAATCTCACAACCAAACACACTCTTTCCAGGRGCATTAACACTGGCATTACTGCTCAGGCTCAGATTAATCATGCCTCAGGTGCAGCAAGTCAGATCACAGMGCAAAAAAGAACTGCAAGAGAATGACAGCATAGGCAGGCAGAAACATCAGGCCCAGCTGGCCCCCAGTGCAAAACCTCCAAGGGCAGAGGGTCAGAGACTGATCTGTACAGAACCTCTGAGGACAGCACTCACTTGTGCAAATGTTCATAGAAGTCTAAGTGCTTATCAGCTTGTGGAGCCAGTGCCCAGCAGCTCCTAACAAATGGCACATGCTCAGTCAGGGAGAACTCTCACCATGGCCACACCTGCAACCAAAACTTTACTAGCACACCACAGATTCTTCACCCACTGACATTAATTTAGCCTATCAAGTTTTTTTCATGTCAATGGTTCCCAGTTTTTTCTCATGTCAATGTCAACACCCAGTGTGCTACTGCCTAAAGGCAAGTGGCCAACAGCCTTACTTTGAAGGTGCAAATTCACTGCTCACTTCAATATGCCACTAGTATTACTAAATATTTTGTATAGCGATCCTTCCRTCACCTCACAGGTTTTACAATGTTAAGCACACTGTCTACCTTCCCTGTGTTGATTTCTGATCTCACRTGAGGAAAAAACTACAGTAATTTACTCCTCCATAAACAATATGTTTTATTKTTCACTACTTTTAAGTTATTTCCTCAGGCTGTGACAACCAGGGTAATAACTAAGTACATAATTTTAGCACTTCCATGAGTTTGCTTGGTTTTCAAACGCTGGTATATCACTATTTAGCTATTATAAATYAGATTATTATGCCTAAGTATGTAGAAATCCTTTAGCTAAAAGAGCAGAACATTAAATTCCTATGATAACCCTCATTTTCAAAAAGGTCTGATTAAACAATGCACTAAGGGAAAGCGGGGGGGGAAGGAAAAATACTTGCTTTTTAAATGTCTTTAGGTTTTTACTTTAAAATAGACTGCAAAGAAGTTCCCTTGGTTACTCTATGCACTTGACAATCTGTGTAGTTTCAGTCTGAGTCATTCTCCTTATTTGGCAAAGTCTTCCACATAGAAAAGACTAAAGCAGTAGGAACCAGCCAAATATTATTGAAAATGTAAATCTATTACCCAGCAGACTTAGCTTTGTGAAATCACAGTCTAACTGTTTGGAAACAATACCTATTTAAGGTATTCTTAGCACTTCTTCCTGAAACTCCCCTTCTCCCACCTCCTCCTCAACCGAGGCATTTATTTGCAAGGACATAACACAAACCAGATTGATTAGCTGATTGGGCTTTAAGAAACCAACCAGATTTTTTTAAGCAGCAGATCAGTTCCCTGATCCAGTTCACAACACAGCCACACACAACTGTCACACTGCAAAKAAGAGTTCAACATAGGGGCAGAAGTAACAGGATACCTTACCAGTATTGCCAAACACTTCATGCAATGAAGCAACACACTTGGGGAAGTCAGTACCCAAAACTACTTTCATCCCATTAAAACAGAAGACTCCCTAAATTTAGAACTGCTGTCCTTTTAACGTAATACCTTATGAACCCTGTTTCACTATTTGAGCATGCTGCTTTTAGTTSTACATACATACAATTAATGTCTAAGAGAAGACTCAATATCATCAAGCCGTTAACTATTTTCCAATATTCCAAATACCTCTACACTGTCTAAACATGATAGCTGAGTCTCTCAGTACCACCAAGCTACACTGAATCATGTGTGCAGTCAGGTGATCCTAGATGATCAGTCTGCTTTAAAACAAGAAAAAGGCTCTTAACTGAAAACAGTTAGGTGAACTGCAAAATTTCTTACCAAATGATACTATAGATGTCAGTGTTTAAGAAGACACTGGGCAAGCTTCTAGAACAGAAGTTAACTGAGACACTGCCTTGAGTTCAGAATGTCCTTCAGTTTAAAATGGCTGGAAACTGAGAAGGGAAACACACATAGACTGTTTATGCCCAACATGTTTTAAATTATTTTTTCACAGGCACTCATGACCACTGTCACCAATGGGACTCCAGGGCTGAGTGGCCCATTCACTTGATGTCTTACACTGTTGCCACATTSTTTGGTAACCCAAATCCTCACTTCATGGCTTGTGAATAAAAAAGAACTTCGACGCCCAATTCTGAACCCATGAATCAGAAATTCCAAACACCTGGAGTAGATCACACAAATACTGGCCAATGTTTACTCGAAACAGACCCCTTTCAYACTTGCAAGCTATAGGTTGAGTATTAAACCTATGYTGAAGTATKTCTTATTAAATACTAAAGATTTTCRGCATTACAAAGAGAAYGCTGCAAACAGATTCACTGGGGCAGAGAAGGGAAAACAGGTCTAGGAAACTTGAACTTTACACTATAAACCACATCTTAGCTAAGATCCATTACCAGAACTGCATTTACTTGGGCTTTCATTTTAAGTGTTCACCAGCTATAAACTGACCAAGCTTCACTTTTTAAGCATTCACACYGATGATTTTTAGTAATACTATCACCACTCCTTTAGCAAAATTATAGTGAAATTAATCAAAATTTAAATTCCATCTACTTGAAAAAAAGCTAATTTAGATAAAAGCATGCTCAGAGAAGCCACTTCTGCTTTCAAAAAGGATAATCTTGAACCTGAATYTAAGTGTATAATGCACATATACCAAATAGTCTGAAAGAAGTCAATGGGAGCACCTACCTAGACAAAAGTAAGTGTGTTTATCCCGTTTAAATCCTTAAATGAAGTTTACATAAGCTGAAGTGTAGTTATTTCCAACAGRTGACTTGCTCACATTGCCAAAAATAAAATAATCAAAGCCTAATCTTCTGTTGAATTCATTAGGAAAGTTTCACTGAGACAAGAATGGAACAGGCTGCCCAGGGAAGTGGTTGAGTCACCATCCCTGAAGGTATTTACAAAACCCGTAGATGTGGCACTTGGGGACACAGTTTACTGGTGGACTCAGCAGTGCTGAGTTTGTGGTTGGACTCGGTGTTCCTAGAGCTCTTTTCCAAACTAAATGATTCTATGATTCTAAGAAAAAAAAAAAACAAAAAAACAAAAGACACAAATTACAAATTTGACTTTAACTTTCTCCCCAGTTTAAAATAAGCTAGACATCTCAGAGCTACAAGGGTGTCCAAAACAGACAAACTGTACTCAATGTACCCTGATTGTTTTCTGCCAGAAAAATTGACACCATCCTTCTATCACTAAGTGACAACACAGAACTATTAGTACAGAATCCTCTTCGGTTTCCAACTGAAAATGGAAAGCATAGATTGCACTGAAAAATAGTTTATTTTTGGGTTTTTTTGTTTGGCACTACAGACAGTTCAAAGGCAAATGGACTGTAAATAAATGTCTGGCTAAGGTTTCCTGGCCTGTGATACATTAGAAAAAGTTCATGCAATGGCAGCTTACTCAAAATTGCATAACCTTCTTTAGTTTTCTTGGACAATTGTCACAAGACTAATTTAAATGAAGTTTCTATAGAAGTTTCCATGATTTTTAGCACAAATTACTTAATGTGTTTACCTAACTTGTATATAGTTTCTTCCATGGTTACAAATCTGCACTGAATCTGTGTTTTTATCTCCTTATATTACATAGTACAGATTACTATCTGCTGGAAACCTAACTTGTCTGTCTAGTGGACCTTTYGTATTACATATAACATTTACAAAATCCTTGCTTTTCAACAGGATCCAYGTGTTCATGCTGAATATTTTAGAAACACATATGAATATTTTTACAGACATCTTGTCTTACTAGCTATGTAATTTTGTGCAGTAACTGCTTTACATACAGCTTTCATTTATGCTTTTTTTAGCACTTACCTACAGCTTAGTGATGTAAATATTATGATTAAGTGAAATTACATCAATACTGCTTTTCATTGTCTCCCTTACAAAGATGCACTGCAAACATGCATAAGACACTGTTAGATTTCTATCAGCTTGCACAGCTAACTGGTARCAACACAAAAATGTATGTCCATGTGAAAAACAAAAATACTCTAGGTATAGTCTTTCTTATATTTACAGTATCACTGATGCCATTGTACATGTATTTCATATCCAGATTTTGACAAAGCTACCTAATCAAGAATCAGGATTTATGAGAGTAGAACAGAAAAGCTTGCTGTGGAAAGAAATTAGCCTGATCTGCTAAACTAAAACACCTCCCCACATAAATTTTCCTTTTCCTTTCTTAAGTAACACTATGATTCTGAGAACTAACCCCTAAAAAAGCACTGACTTTTGGGCTTTGTTGACCTTAAAAATTAGAAGAGCTTTTATCCTGATGCTAGACTATATTCCTTTTTTTTTTTAAACTTCCACTTGATCAATGCCTGATCTATCTTCTTCCTTGAGAATACAACAGTTCTTTGTCCCTGCTTGATATATGATTAATATTTCCTTTCAACAAAAACATCCACCATTCTTCCACTRCTACTTAGGTAACTTCAGAAGCACTGAAAGTGCCAATATTAAAGACGAGGAAACTGTGAATGCTTTCTTTTGAGAACTGATTTGTAGAAACACTATTTCAGAGTGCTAAGCACATTCTTACTTGCTACCTTCCCTTATTCTCCTCCTTGAACCTCCTCATTCTCTTTCCTTTTATTGTATTCTTAGGGCTGAAGGAGCCAGGAGGGAGAGAAGGCAGGGGATCTTATAGCGTGTTTTCCCCCTGGGTCTCAGGCAGAAYTGCTCTGATACCATCCACTGATTTGCCCAGTGAGCAACTCCAGGTGCCAGGCTGGTAACAYAAACATGGAGATGCCCTAAGAGCCATCTTCATTAAATTACCCGGAAGAGAAGATGGGCCTCTTCAGAAGCCATTTACTCCCATCTGCACTCAGGAAAAAGCATAGACATGTTATATTGGCACCTCTTYTTTTCAGAGTCATCTGGGCTAACCTAGGAAGCTTCAGCACATACCATTAAGAGCTAGAGTAAAGATATTTCATTGTTATAATCTACAAACTGTGCTTTATGACTTCTGTAGTTTCTTTGAAGTAAAGGTCTTTTTTCAACACCATGGCAAAGGACATAAGTGAGGAAAAGCAGGCACAGCACAAGAAAAGCTTGAAAATATACTTCTGCAATTACATTGACAAATCAGAGAGGTTCTCAACCTCTAAATTCTAGCTCATGAGCAAAAGAAGTTGGCCAGAACAAAACATACCAGCAGAAGGACTCGATAGGACTAAGCTACGAACATCTTAGAAAAAAACAAAAAACAAAACCAAACAACCCACCAACACTAAGCACCAGAAAATACAAAATGTTTCTAAAAATACAAGGTCATAAAACACTGAACAAAAGCCAGGAAATTCAGAGTTGAGTATTTAATTACACATCCTYAAATCACTTGGTGCCTCCCAGAAACCTGCTCTATAGTCATCAAGCTCCTTTGTTATCTTTGTACGGTGCATTAAACTTAGCATTTTTAACMGAGTATTTTGTATGTAATAATAATGCCTCTCTATTTAAAAAAAAGTCTCCCAGAGTACATTTAATCCTTTCATGGCAGACAAATCCTGCCATGTGTTTGTGTTGCCGTTTTCCTCCTCCGATTAAACAGTAACATGTTTATCGAGATTTCCCTTGAATTTCTCCACTGCAAACTCTGAGAAAGGGTAATTGCACGGTTGTTTTTATCCCCTCCCACTACGTTCATTTGACTACAGACTGACAAAAGATCCAGCCAACTCAGAAGTGGTTYTGAATCCACAACACTTCTACTTCAGGACTTTGGGCCTAGAACACCAGATGTGTCAGTGTTTTTTCAGGTCAGAGTATACGCTTATGTTTCCAGGTTTTATGACATCTCGTAACAATCAACACAAGTTCTTCTTCTAATGCCTCTCACTGATGTTTTTTTTTATACAAAAGCATACTCTGTTTTTTACCTTTTATTTGAAAATCTGTAACTGTGAAACATCTAGGCAGGAAGTTATAGTTACCTTTATTAATTTAAGTCCCATTGTCATTCCTTCCCTCAAATCACTCTGTACAATAGTTAGGCAAGACTATTACCAGTGACTTTAAAGTAATTTTTTTCACAGTTTAAAAATAAACGGTGTTTTTTTCAGYGCTTTCCCCTCCCGTCATTTCCGTGTTCAATAGCTTAACGCTTGCTGCTCTTAACTCCATTTAACCCTTACTCTTCTCGAGAGTGGGGAAAAAAAAAAGCAGCCACTTCTTTTTCTCGCTYATTACCATAAACAGGACACGTCATGCCGAGCGTCCTTTATTCTCCTGCCTCCGACCCAAACGTTCTGGCGATACCTGGAATCCACGGAGGAAGTCTCAGAGTTTACATAATGTCCACTCCAGAAGCATAAGGAGGCGGGGGCGGCCCCTTGTGTCCCCCCCCCTTTCCCCGCACGGCGACAGAAACTGGGGGGGAGGGGAAAGGAGAGAAAAATAAACCTGAAATAAGGAAAAACAAGACCCTTCTCTCCACGCTGCGGGAGGAAATTTAGGGGATCGGAAAACAGGGAAGAAGGAGGGAGAGGAGCGTGTGTTATTTCCTGTTATTGTTACTCCTGTGCCCACCGCCCGACGGAGGGGTCGGGCAGCCCCCGGGCCCGGGGAGGGGGGGAGGGAGTATCGCGGCGGCCCGGGCCGCCCCTCCTCACCTTTGTAGTGCACCCGCAGGTTGTTCTGCGAGAGGCCGATGTAACTGA